TTTGTTTGTTGGTTGTTTTACTAATACTTATGTAGCCATTAAGATTTATATGAATATTTTCCCAAATGCCCAGTTTTTGCTTTTAATCTGTATTGTGCTTTTTAGAACAAATCTGGATAAACGTGCAAGAATCCCTTTGCACAGATACTTAAATGTTCTATGCTTCCATTACATAAAAAATAAGGACTTAAGAAAATCTGTTAATTATAATAGAAATGCAGATAGTTGAGAGAGATTTTTAGAGCTATGATGAACTTACACTTTATAGATGAGTGTTGAGGGAGGATTAAAGAAATTATACGGTGTTTATGTGTGTGTGCTTGTTTATTGGAATGATTTCATATCCTGTTTAAGTTTTTTTTCAGTCAGTGTCTTAACATATCCCAGACTAGGCTTTGAAAGTATGCCTAGGAGATTTTTAGTTGCTCTAAAAAAGGGTAGCTGGGAGTGTAGGTTGATAGCATTAGAATTAAGTCAGTATTTTTTTCTATCATTTGTAATCTGTAAAGTTGTTTACATTGATAGACTTTGAGTTGGGGGTTCCTGGTTTCTGTTGCTAGATTCAGGGAATTGATACCAACTTAGATGGAAAAATCCTTGGTAGTTGTTACTCAAGTGGACGTTAACCTTGAGTGGTAATTTAAAATGCTGTTTAGTTAGTTACTTCAAAACAAAACACTGGTCAAAATAGCTAATTACAAAGGTAACAAGAGAAATGGTCTAATCTATGTATAGTGATTAAGTACTTTTTTCTTTTGTGGAGCTTGAGTCAAATCTGATGTTAAGAATTTGGCTTCAGCTGGGTGTGATGGCTCAATTCTGTAATCTCAGCACTTTGGAAAGCAGAGGCAAGAGAATTGCTTGAGCCCATGGGTTCTAGACCAGCCTGGGCAACATGGCCAGACCTCGTCTTTGCAGTATATCAAAAAATTAGCCAAGTGTGTTGCACGGTCTGTGAATCCAGCTACTTGAAATGCTGAAGCAGAAGAATCGCCTGAGCCCAGCAGGTTGAGACTGCAGTGGCCGGGAGTGTGCCACCACTGCACTCCAGCCTAGGCGACAGAGTGAGACTGCAACTCAAAAAAAAAAAAAAGCGGCCTCCATCTAAACATTTTAATGAACAAAAATTAGTGTTACTAAAGTAAGTTTTTATAGTTAGATATCTGAACTGGGGTCCTGTAACCTGTTTTGTAAAGAGAATGTTACAACACAGACATGCTCATTTCATGTATTGTGAATGGCTGCTTTTGTGCTACAATGGCAGAGTTGCAAAATCGAAAATGTTTACAGTCTGGTTCTTTACAGAAAACATTTGATGACCCATGAATTGGTGAAGAGTTTGTGTTGGGGTTGTTAAGCTGAGGTTCTTGGGGTGTCAGGCACTATGCTCATTTTACATAATCTCCCTCATCAAGAATGGGAAGAGGGGCTGAGAACTGAAGGGATTAAAACAGGCTTAGGGTGGTTAATGAAAAGCTACCATATTAATTTTGATTCTTTATTAAAATGTTAGCAAGCCTCATATTTTAGCAGTTTTAATTAGAAAACGAGACATTAACATTCTGTCCTCAGATTTGTTTGACTCCATAATTCTGTTTTGATTTTGGAGATCATCCCTACTGACGTGAGAAAAAAACTCACCTGGTTTTCGTGCTCCTGTTTTCATATATGTAAGTCAAATGTCTGAAGTTCTGTTCTAGATCGATTTTAAGCATGATCTCTTGACCTAGATATTCTCATGCCTGCCAGGTGTAGTTTTATTTTCAATAAATAATCTGCAGAATTGACAATTGTTTTCATTTCTACAAATTCACGTTTTTCTCAATGGCTTTCTGTATTCCATTCTGAGCTGCCTACCACTGTACATTGTGGAGTGACTTGGGTTGAGACTTGACTATGTTCTGGGGTTCCCTTATCTCAGCTCAGGCCCTTTGTTTCCCAAATCCATGACTGCCTGTCTTTAGGGGAGCACATATTTAGTAGCTTGGAGACCTTCCTGTCTAAAAAGGTGGTTCACTGGATGACTAGCTTGGCTGGATGGAGAATTCCAGGCTTGGTGAAGAAAGTTGGACAGTATTTTGAGTCTTGATCTACATATGAAATCTACTCTGAAGTCACTTAGGATTTTACTTCTTACCAGTGTTCATAAATTTCATGACCGATCTTGGGTTTATTCTCTCCATTGTGCTGGGCTCTCAATGGGTCTTGTCATTAAACATGCACCTTCTATTCAGATATAAGAAATATAGATGCTGCTTTTCCCAGCCACCACGGTCTTTGATTTCTGGAATTCTTGTTATTTGGGCATGAGCCCTGGATGTTTTTCAGTTTTTCCAATTCAGTCTATTGTGTCTTCTGAGCTGAGTTTTTGTGTAATTTAATCTCTCAAGAAGCTTTCAAATTTCAGTTCTCTCAACTTCTTAGGCCCTTCCCATCTCAGGAACCAGCCTGTTTTTTCAGACACGTTTTCTCATCTTGGAGATTATGAACCATACCTGGCTTCCTCACAATGCTTTCTGCTTTGGCTTCTGGTTTCATGTTGGACTTTTCCTCAGATGATTGATGGTGTTACAAATGTGCATGTTGGACTGGGAGAGGACGTTGTGGACCGTGGGATTCCCTGGTGGGTGTTCTGGCTGTGCCATTATATTCTGATTCTGATGCAGATGGTCTACAGACTTATAAAATGCCATATACCCCCTGACATATGCTTTACTTTTTTTTTCTCAAATTGATTGGCTCACCAGAGAAGTCTTTCTCCTGCCGAAAGGGTAGAAGACCTGGTTGTGAGTGTTTTTATTCCTGTGGGAGAAGGAGGAGAAGGGACCTTAACAAGTAACCTATTTTGATCCACTTATTTTCATCACTGTCTAGGTGATAGAAAGACCGTGTCTTGCCTGCTTCAGAAGTTCGATCTCCAGTTTTCTATCAGGGTGGAGGAGTCTTTTGGCAGGATAGAGGATGTGGAGGTTCGGACTGGTGATCAAACACTCTAAGTCAATCTTCAGCCTCTTAACTGTATTTCTACAGGTACATGGGTTGTCCATTCCTAAACCTGTGTGGGAGTGCTGAGACGTCCTCACTGCTGACCGATAGTGGAATACTCTTAGTCTGCCTAGTTTTCTTAGTTTACCTAGTTTTCACTTGTTCATAAGTGTTGCAGCTTCTGAAATTTTGTGGCTGCTGTTTCTTCTGTTCTTGGTATTTTTTAAACATGGTCTTGCTCCCTCCCCCAGTTTTTAAAAATTACTGGTCTTGAGTAGAATTTTGGAAGGACCTGGGCATGATAAGTTTTATTTTTAGCAGCCTATTTGTGCAGGTGGTGGGTGGTGAAAAGTTTAAGGGAACAGAAAGGGCCAGGCAAATTAGAATGTGAACCAGGATCTCTACCTTCTAGAAGTAGACCAGTGAAGTAGAAGCCACAAGTAGCTTGCTGGTTATTACAGAACCATCCTGTATTTGCTAATGAATAGTGTCATGTAGTTGGATGTCAATTCTCAATTAGGTCCCTTTTCTCAGTGAGCTTTCTGCTGTCCTGACTCCAGTGTTGCTACCTTTTGGTTTACTAGGTGTCTGCTACTAGGTGTCTGCTACCAGGTGAGTTAATTTCTCTCCGGGGTCCTGGATTTCTCTTCATGTGTTTCCTACCTTCAGTGCAAGCCATGTAACACACTACTCTCCCCCCAACACCTGGAGATGGCAGGTGCTTCACTGTACTCTGCTGTGCACAGGTTAAAAGCGTGTGTGTGCAACACCTCTCCAGGTGCCAGCTCCTGCAGAGGTCATTTCGAGAGGCAGTCTCAGCAGTGATATAACATTCGGTTATTAGTTCTTGCATCCTGTACTCTAGAAACAGTGTTCTTACTGTTGTATTGCTTGGAGAGACTTCTGTTTTGAAATGAAGACTTCCTAGTCGTTTTTTGTTTGTTTTGAGTCAGTCTTACTGTCACCCATGCTGGAGTGCAGTGGCACGTTCATGGCCACTGCAGCCTTGACCTGCTAGGCTCAGGTGATCCTTCCACCTCGGCTTCCCAAGTAGTTGGAACTACAGGTGTGTGTCACCACGCCCAGCTAATTTTGTTTTTATTGATTGTAGATACAAGGTCTCTCTATGTTGCCCAGGCTGGTCTCCAATCTCTGGATTTAGGCAATCCTCTCACTGCCCCCTCCCAAAGTCTGGGATTACAAGTGTGAGCCACTGTTCCCGGCGTAGTTGTGCTTTAAATGTACTCTGGTTAGGACCTTGAGACGGGGATTTTGGAAACTGGAAGGACTGAACTTGGACTATCAAAGTATTTGCATTGATCCTTAAATGTATGTGTGTTTATTTCATTTGGGGTCAGTTTAGCCCGAGATGCCAAAATCCAGATCCATGCATCATGTAGCATAACGTCATTACAGTACATTTCTTTGGAAACAGTTTTGTGTTAGTGCAATTTATCAGTGCACTAATGTTTAAGGGTGGCCCCAAACTTCATCAAAAGTGATTTTTTGTAGCTAATTTTGACAAGGCTGGAAAGGGTACATCCATTCTTCACTACTGGTCATATTTAAACTGTTTTTTTTTTTTTTTTTTTTGAGTTGGAGTCTCACTTGGTCGCCCAGACTGGAGTGCAGTGGCTGCTCCTGGCCACCGCAGCCTCGACCTGCTGGGCTCTGGCGATCCTTCCGCCTCAACCTTCCAAGTAGCTGGAACTACAGGCACGCGCTACCACACCCGGCTAATTTTTTTGATTTATTGTAGAGATGAGGTCTCGCTAAGTTGCCCAGGCAGGTCTTGAACTTAAACTTTTTTTTAAAGAAATATCTGTCACCCAGGCTGGAGTGCAGTGGCTCCCTCAGTCACAGCTTATGGCAACTTTAAGACCCAGAGTTAAGTGATCCTCCTGCCTCAGCTTCCCAAGTGACTGGGACTATAGGTGTGTGCTACCAGTCTGACCAATTAAAAAATAATTTTTTTTTTTTTTTTTTAGGAATAGGATCTTGCTCTGTCACCCAGA